AATACTCTATTTATGCCTGTTTTTTCACTAGGTGTCTGATCATCGCAACTCCATCCTTGATGTGCCAGTGGGTATCTTATTTGAGGACACTGAACTCCAGCCCCCCAATTCCTTGCATTTAACTTTTACGATTGGAATAATACTTGAAGGTCAAGTGGTGATGGAAAAAATGCAGGACCTCCCACAGGCTATGTGTCTCCTCTTCGGTCTGATCTACGCTCTAGAACTGAATTACCCAAAATCACTTGCTGCAAAATCACCCAAAATGTTTGATTTTATCCATCCGTTTGATTTCATCCAAATTTTTAAATTTAAAAAGAATGCATACATTACGTTTACATGTTCAGTACATTAACAGAATGTGAGACTTAAGTGTAATGTTTAAGTGATCAGAGTTGTACAATTGATGTAGTGCACTACTTAATGTTGGACATTGTTGCCACCTTTAGAGTTATGTACATGGTGTGACTCATTTCCATTTCACATTTTGGTCAATAAAGACTCAAAGGATCAATATGTTGTTTATTGTATTATTAAAGTGCAGTATGCACAAAGCTTACTGTCAAAAATAATAACTTTTAAATTTAGAATTAAATTCTAATTTCAGTTAAATTTTCATGTTGAGTGTCACAGGTCGGGGGGGGTGGGGGGTGGGGGGGCAAGCCAGACTGCACCCACCCCTCATACCCAGGACCACCTTGAGGAACGTACCAGAGACCAGACATACAAGCGGAATTAAAATAAACAATCTTTATTGAATAATAAAAAAAGGAGATTAAAAAGTCTTGACGTGAGTTTGTATCTTTTTCCAGGAAGGGGGACCCGCCTTTGGACCCTGGAGAGCAAGGGGTTTGACTGCCGTCCCAGCAGCAGGTAAGTGTCTGGGTAAGTCAAACTTCTTGGGTGCGATGCAGGCGGACAGATGCCCGGACAGAGCTGGACCGGGACCGAGGGCTAGAAGGGGACTCTTCCACCGGACAGGTAAGTGGCGGGTACGTATACCTCTCAAGAAGGCATGCGGGCGGAGGGGCCTCCCTGGAGGACAGGTGGGTAACCAGGTCGGTATGTTCTTGGGCCGTTGGTCGTTCCGAATATGGTCAGCACGGGGGTTGTGGGCCAGGAGAGAATTTCCCGCCCGTCAGGTGGGTAGCCCGGTACGTATTTCCCCTTCAGGCAGGGCACACTCCCGTGTCGTCGCTGGACAAACAGGTGCGGGATCCCTCGAGTCTCTTCCTCGGCTGGAGCGGGTGGCTGTGCAGGCACAAAGTGGTCAGGGCAAACCTCTGCTCCAGACAGGTAGCACACAAGAAGGCAGCAGCAGAAGAATCGTGGCTGGGTATTGTGGCTCTAAACGGACAGCGCTGAGGCCAAGGTGGATCCTTCCTTCAGACAAGCAGCACACACGAAGATAGCAGCAGAAGGATCATCTGGTGGAACAGACAGAGCAATTTATACAGGTGCAGGCACACTCCTCTGTAGGGTGGAGACTCGGGCTTACGGCTGGACTGTGTGGCCCCGGCAGACAGCACTGAGGGTAGGGTTTGTCCCTCCTTCTGACAGGTAATCACACAAGAAGGCAGTGGCAGAAGAGTCTTCTACTTGAATAGACAGGACAAGTTATACGGACAAGCACACTTCTTTTCAACATCAGAACGAGGGCTTATAGCCCGAGCGGGACATGCACATTCAACACTGAGGCTTTGTTCAGCAAACACTGGGCGGAAATATGAACTGGGGAATACTGGCAGTTTAAGTATACATATGCACCCACACACTGCAACCTCGCGTCAAATCCAATACTGTGTGACACTTCAATTCGGGCACTGCATATCCACTCTCACTCTCAGTGCAATAAGGCCAGCACTCACCCAATAGTCAATCCTTCCACTGTTATATTGAATCAGCACTCAGAAGATGAAGAGATGCAGATGACTTCTCACAGCATGGAAAACAGCGTCTTCAATACTCTCTCACACTCAGACGAAGATATCAGGATTCAATGATGACTCAATTCACACTCTTAAGTGACAATTACACTCGTGATAAATACACTTCACAATTCCTTATTCGACTTAGTGCAAGGCATGTATTCACACAGATCCGATGTTTTATTACTTAACTTCCTCTCAGGAATGATGGCGTTCTCCAGTCTTAACTGTATCTCCACACTTCTCCCACTTCCCATCCAGTTCACGTTTCCAGCGTGTATCCACACAGATCACCGTTGCACCCTTAAGCCAGCCAAATCCTCACAGCTCTCTCCAAAGATCCCAGCGGGTTCAAGCCACTGCCAAAGAAAACGATTTCTCCCGGGGGAGTACCACCCTCAATTCCCTCTTCCTTTTCCTTTTAACTGTTTCCTCCAGCCCCGGAGCCCTATCGCTGAACCTCACATCAATCGCCCGCACCTGATACCGTTTTTCTCATCAGCTGCCGCTGTCATGGAAACCAACAACAAGCGGAACCGGCTTGATGTTTCACTGTTATTGTTCCGGAGGGAACACACTTCCAGCGGACATTGGTTCCGCTTCTTTTGTCACTTGTGACATTGAGTTTACTTAAATATACAAGTACATTTGAAGTTAACACTAAGTTAAATGAACTTTATTGTTTAAGTACATTAAATAATCGTCAAGTTTGGTGAACTAAACAATTTAAGTCAAGTCTACATAAGCACCAAGTTAAGTAAACTTAAATAAGCACGTTTTGGGAAACCCCATTACTCAATTAAATTGAGGGAACGAGTTTACTCAAATCAATTGAGTACAATCAACTTATTAGGGTTAAGTTCATCATCATGCTTTTCAAGCAAAACAAACATCCCCTTTCTGTACAATGTGCCTTTCACTGTGATTTCATTACATGCCACTGTAGACTGTGAATCAAAATTGTAACTGGCCACTGCCTCTCTAATCCTGTCACTGTAATCATCAACATAGAATTCTACACCCTTCTGTATCTGTACAACAGGAGGGAACATGCTGCCTGCACCTAGGTAAGCTTGCAGAAGTTGCTGTCTCTCTGCAAGAGTTTTGCAATGATTTTCACTTCTTAAAATAGCTGTGCTTGCTTTCGAATCTCAAAGTCCAGAGGCGAATTAGTGGCCCAAAGTGGTGTATAAGGTCAGGGTAATGACACATGTAATGATGCTTAGGTCGCAAGGGATTATCAGGGAAGAGCTTTTGCCTGGTGCAAATGTATTCTTAGATTAAAACTTTGAGATATGCAACCTGCCCTGTTGTTACAGCTGGTGCACAGACAAGCTCCACTATCTCTCTCAGTTGCAAAATCAGTAGCCATACCTCATTTCTACATGGATCTTTAATCCTGTCACCAATCAAGAGAGGTAGAATCCTAAGAAAACACCAATTCTGAACCGCATGTCCACTTAACCGCTCACTTCCGGGGGAGAGTTCGCCTGGTTTGTCATTTGCATCATTTCCTTTGTATTTGAACTGATTTTTGCATCGATTCAATTGCAAGTATGTAAAATGCTTCTCCTCAACTAAACGACCAACAACCAACAAACAAAGCAAGGTCATAAGAAACAACACCCTCAAATAGATCGTGCCCTAGACATGGTGGGAGCCCAGGCTGACAAACATGGAAATGTGCAAGCTCGTTAAAAGGAGAGTCCCCCTTGATACCAAATACAGAGCCAACAACAGCAGTCTTAATCTTGGACATGGCTTTTATATGACTGCACAGTTCTCGCAGTACCACACAGGTTTGGCTCATTCACAAATGTTGTTTTATTTATCTCACAATATCGGCAGAAATAATCTGCACGACTGAAGTTTTCCACACAAAAAAAAACTATGCAATGGGATCCCAAATTATCTCCTGAAATGGCAACAAGAGTCCATTTCACAATTTTACCATTGGGCATTGAAATACCAGTTTCCTCTAGAAATTTAAGATCCTTGATCAATGGCTCAAAAACAATGGCTCAATATTTGAAGTCGTGTTCCCTACAAAGAAGCACAAGTTGCATGTGATCTGTACTGGATCTATTGTGTGGCAAAATATCAGTCAGAGTACAGTACACCGCTAAAACCTTATGTTTTTTCTTCCCTGAACCAAGAGGGTTTACAACCTCAAAGGCATCCTGATATAAAATGAATGAGGCCAAGAGAATCAGAATCTGTCTCCATTAAAATATTACTCTTAAATCCCTCACCATTCTTAACATCACGTAAAACGTTTCCAGGAGTAGGTGGTTGAGAATGTGTGTACGCATGCTGTTCTTGCACAGATCTGCTTTTAAACAGTGCAGCCAATGTTTCCTTTATAGGTATATACTGGGCAGAACACTCTTTGCCATTTTCATCATTGTCTAAAAATAATGGCACAGGCTCCACATAGTCAAAATGACTTTTAAAAAAAAGATCTTTCTTTTTTGGTCTGTATTTAACAGCTCCCTGTTATAAAACCTCAGACGCTAACCCTAACCTAATTTCAAATTTCTGTACCTGTTAGATCTACCCGAAAAACTCCCAAAACATTGTTTATTTCATATGTAGCCTTTCTTTGTTCTTATTGTATTTATTTCTGCTATGTGTAATTTGATTATTTGTTCTTACTTTATTACTGACTGCTTGTCTTTAATAATATTTTAAATTCACATTAATTAGGCTGGTAGTTTTTGTAGTATCAAAATTGGAAAAAAGAATTGATATTTCACTGGTGTCTTAAAATTTGTACCACTAGCCCAATCCTCAGCACTGAGCCCTTCTGGAGCTGCTCTAAATATGTGATGTGCTATTAAATGAAAGATAAAATATGACAAAGCAATAGAATGAACAGTGAAAGTAACAGAAGCTCATACAATGCATTTTAGCAGGCTTAATTAAAGGCACACTATGCAAGAATTGTGTTTTTGTGAAACAGCGACCCGCTGTTCGCTGTGGTGTACTTGCACTGTCGTAAATAACCGTACCCCCCCCCTCCCCCCCCACCACACGCCACACGCCCCACACCCCTGGAAAGAAGCGTCAGACATGCAACAGGCACAGATAGACTCCAAAGATAGTGACCAGGTAATGTTTCACGATTTCATACAAATATCATGCTACTGCATAATCTACTGAAATACTGATGATGGTAATAGGATAATAATAACTATATGTCAAGTGTTAGACTACTTTATAATAATAAAGTTTCCTATCGCGTTAGCTGGCTTATAACGTTTTTACATGATTGTTGCTAAATCACAAGTAAATAGCCTATAGTCTACGACTACTGTATAATTTCATTTGTGTTTTTTGATTGTAATGTAAACATTACAAAATAAGTTAAATGTACGTTGCATTATTTCATAACATTGGCCGTTATGATGTCATTAGACATGATTATTGCAATTTATCATAATAGTTTGCAAATTGTGCTCGTTTACACTATTTGCAACCTCTAGGCTTATATATGTCCTGATAATTATGAGAGATATTGACAACTGTTCTCATGATAACAGCAGGAATCAACGTCAACAGCGTCGTCTGATATCCCTCAGGCGATTGGGGCCATATCAAAGAAAAAGAAACCTACGCGGAGGAGACCATCGAAAGGGGGGAAGGCCGCAAAAACTATAGACCCTGAGGAGCAGTCGAGGCTGCAGGAGCTGCGGTCAAGACGTGCAGCTGAAATGAAGGTTTGTTTATTATTGGTCAAGACATCATTTTAGATATTTTCAGCCTTTCCACTAATATATATATACTAACCAATTGTTTTGCGTTGTAGGTAAAACTGCATTCCCTGGAGTCTGTGCAGAAGTACAGGTTGTTGAATACAATCCTCACAAGGTTGCCAGGTCTTATGTTTGATGTGATGGCCATGTTTGAAGTATCCCAGAGCCCTGACCCTGTTGGAGATGTCCTGCATTGGTGCACTTGCACCAATTGCAGAGAAATGGACACAGACCTGGAAAGGCTTTGCTGTCACCAGATACCTACAAATTGCATAACCAACATGGCACACATGGAGTTCTATGTGTTGGATGAGGGGGTCTTGCGGCTGGCCCGTGCGGCCTGGAATTACATTTTTGCTGTTGATGACAGCCAGGAGCCGGGTGTAGAACAGCGTCAATATAGACATGCCGCCTACAGACAGTTTGTGCTGTGGCAGCATGGCCGCCTGGGTGTGGGCAACAGAGTGGTGATCCCCAGCTGTTGTGTCTGGAAGATACGGATCAAATTCCCCGACCCAAGAGGCCGATATACAGGATTCCGGGTGCACCGCCTTCAATAGTTTTTTTTTTAATTAGCCTTTGTAATTAGTTATACAGCTATTTCTAAACAGCATCTTATGGAAGAAACATTTGTGAATGTGAATTGTATGTTTTGTTCCCTGTTACCTCTGCAATTGTGCACTTTACTTCTATTTATTTTAGTTTAACTTATTTTTTGTTTGCATGTAAATAAAGACATTTTCCAAAAAGTTCAATATTATACATCATTTATTACAACTATTTACAAGGACCAGATTACAGTACAATAGTCACTGCGGAGGAATGTCTCCTCTTTCAATATGGGCCTGCACTAGTTCTGCAGTGGGTGGTGGCAGTACAGCACCAAGCAAACCCCAGCGCCTTGGGTCATCGGACCTGAGCGTCTGTTTGCGGGGAAGGCCTCTCCCACTTGCAATTCTTCTCCCAAGAATGGACTATTTATTGTATTATTCTATTATTGTAATCTAATGCGGCAAGCAAAACTCGCGTCCTGTATACAGGTGGGCTGTAGGCGAAGCGCTTTGCCGCATACATCAGTATATGATTTTGGAAGCTTTCCAAATCAGAAGTGGTCCTGGCGGGGAGGGAGGAGGCACACAATAGTAACACTTCTTACCACAATGGCATAAAGGTAAAATCTGTTCAACCATCACTTCCAGCCTTCACTCAACAAACAATTACAAAAATGTGCAACAGACACATCTACCAAGACTGTGAATGAAGTAGAATATGGCTATGTATAAGTGTAGTTTCAGTATGTACATTTGTAAATAAATACAATATCTACTTTAGTGCATGTGTAATTGCATGACAGTTGATGCATACCTGAAGTTGATGAACTTCTTCACCTGGCTCAACCAGCGCTTGTCAAGCACGATTGCTGTAAGTGCCTGATGAGCTGCTGAACCTGTAATCACATATCAGAGTGAGTAAAAATCACAATCTCAGAGCAAATGAAAATCAAGTGACTACAATCGTTCAAACCTTGATGGATCCATGGCTTGTTTTGGCTGCCTTCATCCAGAGGCTCATGTTCACAGCATCCAGTTGCCCATGAATGTTGATTGCGGACATGGTGTAGGACTCCATGCCACATCATCTGCAGAAATGGACCACCACACATTACATACAGCTAGAAACTTCACCCTTCTGCATGCCAGAATTGAACTGCTCCTCGGTTAATACTTGTTTGCAGCAATTCCAAAAGTGATTAACGATGTCCTTCATCCAGGCTAGAATTGAATTCAGATTTTTTATTGTGCCAGCCTGATTGCACAATGCAAAGGAAACAAAGCCACGGTTAATATATTGCTGCAAAATATTACATTACCAACGCAGTAAGGCAAGTCAATGCAATCTTCAGCTTCAGGGCATAGATTAGTCGTAGAATACAGAATAAATTTGGATGATTGCATACCCGTCGTAACTTCTTTCCAAGATTTTTGGCAGCATGCCATATGTCGAGAGAGTGGTGAATATTTTTGTAGCGCCCACGCTCTGGATCTGTAACAAATAACACAGCATTTGTAATGGCACAATTATCAGTGGAAAAGAAAAAGCAATGGCTCTAGACAACACATCCAATAAGTTATCCTTACTAAGCAAGGCAGAGATTTGTGGGTGGGCATCCGTGACAACTTCTCGGACAGGAATTTCCTGGATTCAGGGGTTAAAGTGAGGAGGGGGGGGTTATCTTCAATGGCACTATTTTGGCACCACGTATTACAGATGTATCATAATGGAATCTTTTTATGAATGAAGGCCAGTATTACTAATATTATAGCTACTGATATCTCGATGAAAATGATTTTCCCCAAAATTTTAAACATTTATTAGGCTTATAATTTAAGTGAACTTAAAACAATTCTCACTTAAACCCATAATAAATGTCATTTACCTGTGCCATACAGAAATTGAATATGGTTATAAAACAGTCTGCACTGCATAAATTATAAATGAAATATAGATTAATCCTTATCAAAGCTACAAGCGTTCTTTAGTCAAGAGCAGTGAGTAATTTTCTCTGTTCCCTCTGTTCTTTAGGTTAACTTTACTGACAGACAGAATTAATGGCTGCTGTCACTTTAAGATCTGTCGCTGCTGACAGGATCTCACACATCTCATTCTCTCACTACTATTTACTTCCATTTAAGATTTTATTTAACTAATTTAACACTGATCTTGTGAGGATACTCGACAAAATGGACATTTTGGCATAAGTGTGTCTTATTGTTCGTTCAAGCGCGAAAGAGAACTCGATACTGGCGCGCGTCTTTCTGTGCGTCGTGTGTGCGTGTGTCAGGAGGACATTCACTGACAGCGCGTCTTGTCGCGCATGATGAATGCATGGTTTAAAGCATTTGCATGAATAAGAGCGTGATCATAATCCTAGCTAAAGGATGACAGAAAGAACGGATGCTGCGTTATTGCAAAGCTGGACAAAAATGAATCGCATGCGTTAACATTGACAGCACTTGTCATACATTGCTGACAGAAAATATTGCGGTTTGAAGTGGACTCGTTTTCATGGTAGGCCTAACGTTACACCGAATGTTTTTTTAGTAAGCTACACAGAATGTTCTACATTAAATATTTAGCTAACAGTCTGAAGTTACCCATTATCCTGACCTGAGCTAATTTCCTGAATCAACCAACTCACATCTCCTTTCTTTCTTTTCATCCATGAGGACATTAGTCACCTGTTGTTGTTTCTGGCGTTTCATCACTGACTGTGTCGCAATCTATTTTTTTTTACAGTCTATGGTTGCAACCGCTATCCCTGCTAATTAGAACTTTCAGTGAGCTATTTTACACAGGCTCGGTCCGGCTCCCGGGGGGGTGGGGGCATGTCCCCTTTGTCCGCATAGGAAATTACGCCGGTGGGTACATCATCCCCAGGCTTCATGAACTTGCGCTCCATGCTTTCGCCGACGACGCTAACGTGACGTATGGATCTCAATCACACTGTGTTGCCAGGACCCTTCTGATAGACTTGTAACGTTAGTTAGAGCTGCGTTCCTCTCATATGAATGGTAGGTGAAATCAATTGACTCGAAAATATTAAACCGCATGCAAGTTCCCTTCTCTTTTTTTTTTGTCCTCACGGCCGCACGCCGGAGATCCGGCACGGTGCCGGAATACTTTAAGCCCTGTGGATTAGTGGGTCCATGTAGACTGGGCAACTTCCGGCAAATTTAGATTTGCTCTGAAAGTTAGTCTGGCAAAGAGCTCATTCAAGCCCATTTCCAATCCGCCGAAATCGAGGCACCAATCAGAAATGTTGGGGCGGGCTTTACACGACGACGACAGCGCTGGGATTTTGAAGCAGATTTTGTAGCCTACATTACAAAGATGGTGTAACTTACACACACCGGCGGCACCGTTCGGCGTCTGTCCACGGCGCCCAGCTACGGCTTAGGACCTTGTTCAAAATCCTGCCGTGCCACAGAGCGCGATTTACATATTTTTATATTAAATTTACATTTATTTGTCTCAAATCGTCGTTAATCTATATACTGACTTCAACCTGTGCTGCAATATACATTTAGTTTTACAATCATTTACAGAAATCAGCTACTTGAATAAAAATTGCTGATGTTATCGGATTTTCAGGTGAAATTCTCAATTCATTCAGTTAACGGACGCTCTGAGTTAAAGTGTTCAGACTGCAGACTTCACAACGGTTGTGTTTAATTGTACAGTACAATCATAACATAGTAGAGACATTATCTTAATTCCATAATGTCCTTAAACATAACATTACTATATTGCTGGCCATAAACTGACAAAGTGCGTGTCTGGTGTGCGATAGGCTACCTCGAGTTGTCATAGATGCGGCGCTGCGCTTCTCGTTTGGTGCGACCCCCTGAAGGTTCTGAAATGCAAACATTTTTTGACTAGGCCTAACGTTACTTTTATTAATTAATTTATTTTTCACCCACGGAGGAAAACATAAATCGGCGCCTATGCCCGCAACACCACTAGTTTCAGAACCCCAGCGCCAGAACCCCAGCCACAGAACCGGAAGTGATGGGCGGAGTTATTGACAATGAGACAAGCAATGGCGGAGAACGCGGTGAGTTGTCTAATATTTTTGACATTATGTGGTGAAAAAGTATAGCATATATTAAGTTCAGCATTTATCTGCTAAATGTTTAATGTGTGCTTGGCTTTATCATCTTATTGAAGCTTGAATATGTTGTCATACTTTATTGTATTAAACATTTTTTCTACGGATGGTTCGATTAATTTTTTGAGATGGAGGACACAACCCCGACCTCAATGATGGTCCCAACCAGTATTAAGTGTTAATATATCCTGATGCAAGTTATTGTATGTAATTATCCATTGTTACTAGCCTGACTTCGTCATACTCATATTCTAGTCAGAATGTGAGTCTGATACTGCTCCATAGGGCTTTGATTATGAGGCGTGTCTTAACCGAACCAGGAAAAAAAAACTCTGCACTCAATTGGATAGACCTTCAACCAATCAGAGCAACGCAGTAAGTCAGCTACATAGTTGCATAGCATAGTTTCAACAGACCTCAACTGCACGCACACTGGAAGAAGTAGTCAAATAATGAGTGTTACTTCTTTTACTTGGTCCTCCATGAGTGCGACCAAACGAGAAACCACAACGACCGCAGGGCTTTCATTACGTCCCTTCTTCGTTCTTAGCGACCATCGGAGCCAGCTGATAAAATAAACTTTTGCAGAATCCCGTAGGAAGGACGACAAACACATCTTTCCGATCGACAAATGCCTTGATTGCAGTTCTCTGTTCGTCTTTTAAAATTAATGCGCTGCCGATTTCTTTTACAACAGACGCGATAGCGGAATCTATACATCTCAGTTCTCCAGCTGCAGTCATCTCTGAGGGAAACCAGTTCAACCCAAGCGCTCTTTGATAACGTGATGATTACGTCACTGCAGATCATTTGTCCATCATCGTATAAAGCCCCCCCAGGCAATTTGATTGGCCCGACTAATTCTGAACCGATCATAATTACTCCTCAATGGATCGAGTCCAGACCGAATTTCCCGACCAAAAAATGTTGTGGGCGGGGTTCGGGCTGGCATCCAGGCTACATTGTTACTATTACAGCAGAAAATGAAATGGTGTGTAACATCAAACACCTGTCTTCCAGTAGAGTGTGTTGGGATTGTCTGCCAAGTCATTGGCAATCAGCAATGGTATGTGAATGACAGTTTTCAGTTTTATTTGATGTTGTAATGGCACTCACAAATCAGAATTTATGAATTTGAAATGCAGATTTTTTTTTATATATATACTATGTAATTTCTTCTCTCATTTGTCTTTAAGTTGAATGGGCTTTGGGTACAGATGACCCAGATGAGACAATTGGCAAAGTTGGAAACTTGGTTCTGAAAAGGAAAGATTTCTGTACTCTAGGTCTCAATGAGCTGTTGGAGGCAACAGTGAGTTGACATACAATAACAATAAGAAATGTTTGTGACCGTTTACAGTTCTCTTTTTAAAAATGGCAGATTGCAAATAGCTGTCTTGAAGAAATCGCATTGGTGGCTAAGGAATGAGTACGTTTTTGTCAAGTTGCAAATCTTAAATAGTCAGAGACCTAGTCGTCTAGCTTGTGTACAGTCTTACATTGGTATGTTATGTTGTGGGGAATGGATGTGTGGACAGCCAATGCATAAATTGTGGTGACCTGGTTGCCTCCAAATAAATTGGACCCATCCTTGTCATTTCCAGTGAGGCCACAAGGTTACAAAACATTCACAGCAGTGACCAATTTTATTTTATTCATCTATAGGATTGCTTTGCACTGAAAGATTACATTGTCTTCCCTGCTTGGAAGCCAGCACACTGGATGTTGTGTGTAAATTATTTGTAATCTGGCTATTTATTGTAACTTTGCAGTGTTGTCTGAAAATTGCCTGCTTTTGTCTTATCACAATTCAGAAATACCATTTTATGATTCAGAAGTACTAACACTTTTTTGCAGGTCATGAAGCTAAAAGATAGGCACATGTACCACTTAGATTCAACTAATCTATATGGGTTGGGTGATGAGAGATATGTGAAAGTTTTCAGGTGGCAAAAATAAATATAGAAGAGAAAATGTTCAAGGTTCTCAGTTCAGGTTTGCTGTTCAAGGTTCGCTGTTCAATGTGTGTGTTCAAGTTTTGCCATTCAGAGTGTCCCGTTCAAGAGTTTAATAAACTTGCGTAATGGTTACTTGCATTATGTTCTGATTTTGCATGCTGTGACAGTTTTCACGAGAAAGACCCAAATACTATTGACTGCTATGTTTTTGCATGGATTCAGAGCTTCAAACTGTATGTGCTGCACAATGTAAGTTTTTTTCATATTAACAAATCTGTTTTATTATTTGTGTATTTTTGTTGCAGGAAGATGACAGCCAAAATTGCACCTGGCACATAGGTGTTACTGAAAAACAAGGTTGGTTATAAAGAAGTCTGCTAAAGTTGGGACTGTTAAAGTGTCAAACTCTTAATAACCTCATGCTTCTCCTTTTCTTTTTCTTTTTTAGGATATCCGCCAACCGATTGGTGGTATAGACCGTGGAGTCTTCATGTTGATGGTGAGACATTATGTTTTGATATAAATAAACCAATGATTGGTGTGGTGTTTTTTGTTTTTTTTTATTATAAAGTTGTTAAATAAGGAACAAGGAAGCATTTTTTTTTTTTTTTTTTGACGTTTATAGATTAATCCTTCCTTAATTTTAGCTTTTTTCCAGTATCTTGTTTTGGGAGCACCCTTTGATTTTACATCTGTAAGTAATTACCAGTTCAAGTAATTTACCTTTATGATGTTGTAGCAGTTGAAATATCAAGATTTCTCTATTTTTGTCTTCCAGTGCGACTTTCCAAACATACGGAGATGGTGGGATCTTATTCTACTGTAGACACTGGACATTTACTCCAGCCCACTGTTACATTTGCACTATCTTCTGATAAATTTTAAATTAACCAAGATATGTATATTCCAGTGCAGAAACCCTACAAGAGTCCCTTCCAAGTGAATAACAACCTACGCTTAGCAGCAGTGAGGCAGTGTGTGTGTATATCTTAGTTAACATATAATATAATTATAACATACAATACATTTATAAGAAATATTAAAGTCACATTTTCCTTTAATATTCTGTAATGAAGGAGATCTCAATAATCCGGCACATGAAAGGGGTCCAGTGGAAGAGCCTCTTTTCATTCAAATGAATGAAGAAGAAAAGGGAAAGGCCCTCAACTGTCTCCTGGAACAGTCAGTAGCTTCCAGAGAGCCCTTTGTATTTTTTTTTGTGTTCAGATGACATAAAGTTATTTTTGCTAGAATGTAAGGACAAAATGGGCCTGAGAGTGAATTCCTCATTTGATACATTTTAAGTTTAATTTATACAGGATTGTCATTTGTTGTATACATTTTTATTGTTTCTTTTAAAACAATGCTGCTTTCTCTCTCTCTCTCTCTCTCTCTCTCTCTCTCTCTCTCTCTCTCTCTCTCTCTCTCTCTCTCTCTTTTAGATTTTTGACATGTTTTAGTTTACATAAAGAAAAATGCGTGCTGCACATGTTCTTCTGAAATAAAGTATATTTTATATATAAAATGGTCTTAAGGTTCAAGCATTATTTTTCAACATCATGATCAGGAAGTAACTCTCGTAATATGCACCAGCACACCACGTGATTGGCCGCCCCAGACATCTATCCAGGCACGAGGACACCGCCAGCCAATCAACGAGCCCGTGAAATTAATGATTGATGGTTCTTTCGGGTCATGTCTTTTAAGTGCATACCAACTTGGGATTTCATATTCTCCTCTCTTCTCTTTCTTTCTGCAACTCGTATGAATGTGTGTTTGTGTTAGATATAAGTTTTGTGTAAGAAAAATCAATAAAGTCTTGTATTTTAAAGATAAGTGTTCTTGTGTTATGTGCTTACAAATTTAATGTCTTAAACTGCTGATCTAAGTTACCTTGCTAATAAATAGTGTTTCACTATAGTTTGGATATTTATATCCGCTGCAGAGCTGATAGTTACGGCCAGTTCAAATGAATGCTGGACGAGTCATTTGCTCGGCTGTATAAGTGATTCTTTCAAGATTCCCTATAAATTAATTAATAATTCCCTTTGAGCTAAATTGACCTGTCTGACCCTTACAATTGCATAAGGTTTATTTTAGGTTTCAGACATTTAAACACACATAAGTACTATCAAAACAATACATTTATAGTTTGTAAAATACACACTGATGTCTATCGAAGCGGCAATAACAATCCTTTCAAATGTAAATTGACGAGGTGTCTTATTCATATCAGATACACAGTGTAAGTAACTAGAAAGTTTACTCTATTCTTCTACCACTTCAACTGCCACTCACTTTCTTGTTTTTCGGGAAAAGGGGATGAATTGACGTGTTGTAAATCTGACAGATCCGATTCTCTGAACTGCGGCACGGCGGCCAAACTTACATGGCGGCGCTCATCACGCATTATAGATCAGCTAACATGATCATTATAATGTTTTTTTCAACAACAAGACACATTCACTTGCATTTATTTGAGAAAAAGAATATTAAGTAGTTGATGACAGCCAACGAGTTTGTGAATATTTTGAATAAAAAAGGAAAAACTAAAAAAAGCGATACATCTGCCATACAGCGCTATACATCAACATGCAAAGTCATTATGGATAGTATTTTTAAAAAAGGGTGCCGACCAAATTGTAAGTCGATACGACCAACTGAGAAAGTTAGTCGCACCAGTGCAACCAGTGGGAAGAATGAATCTACAGCCCCTGGATAACAAAGTATAACAGAACATAAAATCTGTATGAAGTAATTAATTGACTGACCAACCTGTGAAATGGGTTGCATGATGTTTTTTATTGTTCTGCCAGTGACTCCACCCTTACTCTGAAACAGCTTTATCATGCTGTCTGAATACTGGTCAAGCATAGCAAGAAACTTCAACTCTAGTGGGACTGTAGTGATTTGCATGAACTCACTGTTGATCTGTTACCTAATTTTCTTTGCATTTGTTTTACTTTTTAATTTTTTATTCAAATGAAAGTAAATTAGCATGTCTATGTAGAATAGAAAGAAATAAAAAACACTTACCTCATCGACATTAAAGGGAGCTGGCCATCGATTTTTAAACTCTGTTACCATTGGCTTGTCCTGAACCACTTCTATGTAAAAAGGTTCACTCCATCTTTTCTTTGACTACTTTGTCATTGTTTCTCTTTCTAATCTCAGTCCAAAGCTCAACTCTTTCCTTCTCCAGACTGTCAGATGTTTCTCCCTTTGGATGCTGAGGGCAGTAATTTACTTCTGCTCTTCTAGGCTTATTGATGTTTGAAGCAGCATGGCACTAATCTTGGTGTTTGTACTTTGAGTTTATGCTTACTTCTGAACACCCAATACTTATGAGCTTAGTACGAAAGTTTGCCATCTTATACTTGAGGCTTATTTTCCACCCATAGCAACCATTGTAGGAGCCTTGTTCTTGCAAGCAGGGTTGTTTATTAATTAATGCTTCTGCATTAATCTAAAATTTCTAGGATGTGGGACATCAGCTTGGAGATGGACTAAGAGGAGTTCCATTAGCATGGTATTCAGAATTGGCCTGCTGTAGAATTGTAGAATTAATTCAGAGTCATAGGAGAAGCGTGGAATTGGGAATGCAAGTGGCCATGGGGTAGATCTTGATGTGGATTGCACTGACCCATCAGGAGAAGAAAGAAGAACAGTGTTGTCAGTTTAAAACGAAGAGACAGAGGCAGAATTATCTGACTTGCAGTGTTAAGCGAGTAGGAGTTAATGCTGCAGTCAAGTTTTGTCCTGTAGTCTTTAAGATGACTTTTAACGTTCCTTTGTCTTGAACATCATTTATTGATGTCAAGTTAACAAACTCGCCACCAAAATCGTCGTCTTGATATTGCAAGCAGATATCCCCATCAAGCTGTAACATTTCAGGGATTTTTTGTGCATGGTCCTCAGTAGAACTAGGAAGCCCTTCAACTAGGATCAACTTCCTGGGGTCATCATCAGCTAAAATTACTCTTAGGTTTCACTGGTTGAGCCATTGCTCTATTTATCAGTCTGAAGAGAGGATACATAAAATATATCACACATATAAGAATTAAGGCAATAGTGCTTTTAAATTAGATAGTTAAAAGGTACACTTTGTAACTTTTGATGCTGAGGTTACTAAACATAACTCCATGCGTCTTGCATAAGAACACTAGCAGTTTTAAAATCTTCGTAATATAGTTGTATCTGAAGAGCATGTTCTTTGTGTCCAAATAATGTATGGTTTTGGATGTATGAACAATTATTAATGTCTTTGTAAATGCATCTTGATGAATCTTTACGAGCAGGAAACAGTGGTAAAGTCTAGAGATGGTGAACAGAGACTCAAGAGTTCTTAAAATGGGCACAAACATAAATTTGTCACTGTCAGAAACTTGGCTGTATACACACACTAAAAACTCCTGGGTCAAAAATAACCCATAGTTAGGTTATTTTTGACCCAACTCCTGGGTTAAAAAGGGACCAACTAATTTCTGGTTTATTTCAACCCAGAAAATTGGGTTATTCTTTTTGACCCAATTTCTGGGTCAAAAGAACAACCCAAATATCTGGGTTTAAATAACCCAGAAATTAGTTGGTCCCTTTTTAACCCAGGAGTTGGGTCAAAAATAACCTAACTTGGGTTACTATGCAAGGATGCCTTATTTCAGAAAATAAAACTTTGTTTTAAATTATATTACTCACTTCAAGCACTTTTACATTTTATTGCATTAAATTAAATTGTATATATTTAAAAAAAACACGCACACTTGGACATATTTATTTTCCTATTTATTTTAGGTCAGACTGTAATGATAAGAAAAAATAGAAAAATAAACAACTCTGAAACATTCAACAAAATAACCGGATTAAACTTTAAATTCAATCCAGTTTAAAGCCTTAAGAAGGCTTTAAGTCTTTAAACATTAGTTGTCATTTAATGCAGTTTAAAACAATTAAACAGTTGTGCAAAAGCCTTAAGAAGGCTTTAAGTCTTTAAACATTAGTTGTCATTTAATGCAGTTTAAAACAATTAAACAGTTGTGCAAAAGCCTTAAGAAGGCTTTAAGTCTTTAAACATTAGTTGTCATTTAATGCAGTTTAAAACAATTAAACAGTTCTGCAAAAGCCTTAAGAAGGCTTTAAGTCTTTAAACATTAGTTGTCATTTAATGCAGTTTAAAACAATTAAACATTTTTGCAAAAGCCTTAAGAAGGCTTTAAGTCTTTAAACATTGGATGTGTCACTTAATGCAGTTTAAAACAATTAAACAGTCCTGCAATTAAGTAAGGAAGTCTTAAGGAATTTGACGGGTTTTGATTCAGATCCCTCAATCTGATACACAACTTGCTGCAGAAATTCCCATGC